GCTATCTTCTAAATTCCTTATCATGTAATCTACTGAATTCTTTCTCATGCAAGAATATATATATTCTGCCATTGCACGTCCCTGAGTCATCAGCTGGCCCCACGCTAACACGAAATGGCAGATCCATCAATCTCATATTGTTTTTAAAAACTTTGTTGTCCCCCCTGAAATATTTCAGGATGTATTCCCATTCTCTGTTTGTTTTAACACGGGGCTCAAATTTCACGGCTGGGGAATGTTTTTCTCAATTGTTTTAAATTGTTCTTTTCAAATGCATATTTTCATTGCCGTGTTCTTTGCGGGTTTTGTACGTTCTTAAGAATTTCATATATACATAAAAATGGGTTGTTTGTTAGTGGTGCGAATTTTACAAGTGCCTTATTGGCTTTCGAATATTTCATGGCTCTTAATCCTTTAGTTTCAGAAATCCAATATTGGCTGTATCCGATATTTAGTAATTACAAGCAATTGTAGTTTTGTCGGGTACCTTGTCATATTGGTATGAACTCCGATTAATTGGTCGATTGAACTGCAAAATCTGCCAATCAAATGTATCCTGTGCTCTCGAAGCCTATTCCTTTCGCAAATTACTACCAAATCAATCGACGCAGGTTCGAATCCTCGTCACGGCCCTTGTGGATTTGTTCATTCGCAGATTCATTTACCACATGGCTGGATAATTGCGTTGGTTTATACTCGTGTCGTTAGGGACAAAATGGGACACTTCCTTATAGCCGAATTGTCCGTTTGTCATGATAAATTAAATCGTTTAATGGAAAAGAAATCAAATTCAAATTCAAAAAACGCTATTCAATGGTCTATCTACCGATCATTCATCATTTGTGTGGATGACATGGATTTCTAAATGATGGGAAGTTACGCTAATCCACCTCTCCTTAAAGGCAGTATAATCACTCGATATTCAACTCAGTACATTGGACAATATCCCTCGTTCCCGTGGACAATATCATGTGTTCTCCCTGGACAAATATACCGGATTGCCATGGCAACAACACATCCTTTGACGTGTGTCTGTTGTTATTGGGTCTGGAGATTAATTGTGGGAGCATCTGGTGGCCGTTCTGGTAAAAGTGTAAATCGATGAAATGGAGAGAGTTGACCAGAAAAAATAGGAAGAGAGAGAGAGAGAGAGAGAGAGAGAGAGAGAGAGAGAGATAAGGGAAGGTTACAGGGAAAAAAAGAGGGTGGTATAGGTGCAGAGGAAGGAAGGAGGGAGGGAAAAGGAAGAATGACAGAATGGGGTGAGAGAGAGAGAGAAAGAGAGAGAGAGAGAGAGAGAGAGAGAGAGAGAGAGAGAGAGAGAGAGAGAGAGAGAGAGAGAGAGAGAGAGAGAGACTCCAAAGGAAAGGATATACCTACGTCTCCCCCGTTTTCTTTTGGTCGTGATGAAGTATATTAATCCCCCCCCCCCCAAGACCTTCTCTTCCTGTGACACAAGCAATAACTTTCCTTCAATTTATTCGCCTGTTATATGGCATTCCTGTTGGATGTTACTCAGCCTCACACACACACACACACACACACACACACACACACACACTTGAGTATGATTTTCTCTTTTTTAGTTGCGTCAGAACACGCTTTTGTGTCTAAATATATTTCTGTAGCTTTTTCCCCTCTGGTCAGAGCAATTACCCGCATCTGTTGTTGAATTTGCATACTTACCTCTGCTGGCATTTTAAACAATGCTTCAAAAAAAAGGAAGTTAGAAGGTAGAAATTTGGTTATCTTATAGAATTAGAACTCATTTAGAATTAGATGCTTCATTCGTAGGCGATTTTTACGAATTGTCACAGTTGTGTTGGAGTTAATTATGAGAAAGTGCTAGGCCATTACGACTATATAGCACTGGGAAGGGCTTAAGATTATGATTTGGGATGGGACGGAGGGAAAGGAATGGTGCCCCAATCACTTGGACGGTCGGGGATTGAACGCCGACTTGCATGAAGCGAGACCGTCGCTCTGCCGTCCATCCCAAGTGATAAGAATGAACAGGTGTACAGCTGTAAAAGGCTTAGAGCTTACAATTAGAGATTCATACTGGGAAAATATATTACGTGAAATTAGATCATTCAAAAGGCAGTTGATGAGTTGAGGCGCGTCCCTCGTTGATGAGTCACTGTGATGGTGAATATATGATGGTGAAGATTGTGTTGATGGTGGTGGTGATTCCAGTGATAGTGACGATGACGTTCGGGGTATTTCGAGGCAACATATGCGGCCGTAATGGCGATATGTGTTATGAAGGCAACATATGTGGCCATAACGCGGGGCTATGAGTCTTCATAGACAGCATATGTGGCCATAATGGGAGGGTTATGAGTCTCATAGACAACATATGTGGCCATAATGGGAGGGTTATGAGTCTCATAGACAACATATGTTGCCATAATGGGAGGGTTATGAGTCTCATAGACAACATATGTGGCCATAATGGGAGGGTTATGAGTCTCATAGACAACATATGTGGCCATAATGGGAGGGTTATGAGTCTCATAGACAACATATGTGGCCATAATGGGAGGGTTATGAGTCCTCATAGACAACATATGTGGCCATAATGGGAGGGTTATGAGTCTCATAGACAACATATATGGCCATAATGGGAGGGTTATGAGTCCTCATAGACAACATATGTGGCCATAATGGGAGGGTTATGAGTCTCATAGACAACATATGTTGCCATAATGGGAGGGTTATGAGTCCTCATAGACAACATATGTGGCCATAATGGGAGGGTTATGAGTCTCATAGACAACATATGTTGCCATAATGGGAGGGTTATGAATCCTCATAGACAACATATGTTGCCATAATGGGAGGGTTATGAGTCCTCATAGACAACATATGTTGCCATAATGGGAGGGTTATGAATCCTCATAGACAACATATGTTGCCATGGTGGACTCGTAAACACGGCAAAAGAAACCCCAGGAGAGAAGCTGCCATATTGGAACACATGGCCACTTTCTTCTACAAATGGCACCCTGAGGTGCAACTCTGCAGGCGTTGCTCCTTATGTTACTTTCTGCTACGTGCTCCGGTGTTCCTGTGTGATGTGTGTACTCACCTGTGTGTCCTTGCGGGGGTTAAGTTTCGGTCTATTGGGCTCTATCATATCTACATTTGAAACTGTGTATGGAGTCAGCCTCCACCACATCACTTCCTAGTGCATTCCATTTACTAACTACTCTGACACTGTAAAAGTTCTTTCTAATGACTCTGTGGCTCATTTGGGTACTCACTCTCTGTGAGTAAGTGAGTGAATATGTGAGAAGATGAATAAATAGAGAGGTTGTGAGTTTCCATGGGGTTAAGTTTTCAATTTAAGTTCATAAGGAGTTCATTTCTTTGTCTAACTACTATTCACTTATATTCCTGGCTAACAAATGCTCAAACAACCACTATGACTGATCTTTAACAGCAACTCGTCTGCACCATCACCTCATCCACACCTGTGATTGCTTCCTCACACACCTGTCGCTGAAACCTTTGTATACCTGCTACCTCCTCTCCGTACACCTGTTAAGGAGATTCTCCCCCACCTTTCACTTCACACACCTGTCATTGGCTCTCAATACTCACCTGTTACTGCCTGTTACACGCTTGCTACAGGCCACCTGAAGCCTCAGTTTCAAGACCCGAATCCAGTCTCCTCTCCTAAGTGAAGAGAATCTTTTCTCCCACGTTCGGAGCTTCGAACGAAGTATTGGGCTTGAACGCGGGGCTATGTTTGACTACGACTATAGGATATCCACCTGCTGGCCCACCTGCTGGTCCACCTGCTGGCCCGTCTGGTCCACCTGCTGGCCCGTCTGGTCCACCTGTTGGCCTACTATACCCCTGGGGCCGACACCGCGTGACCCATCGACACATGGAATAACGCCTTTGTCTTTTGTCTCAGCTGAGGTCCAGGTCAGGGAGGCCGTCGCTCGAGGCTTATGAGGAAGGGGAGAGGAAAGGTAGTGGGAAGGGTGAGGAAGGAGTCGGAGGACGGAAATGGAAGGAGGAACGTTACTGTTCCTTTCTGCCGCTGGGGAATGAGGGAAAGTTCAGTCAGTTTCTCTTATTTCTGCTTAACACAGTTTTGGCTAATTATTACGTCTCTTTGTTGACATTCTCTCTCTCTCTCTCTCTCTCTCTCTCTCTCTCTCTCTCTCTCTCTCTCTCTCTCTCTCTCTCTCTCTCTCTCTCTCTCTCTCTCTCTCTCTCTCTCTCTCTCTCTCTCTCTCTCGTAATGTGATAAGGTCACATTCCTCATTCCAGTAAACGCAGCATCACAACACATCCCTAACATGAAAGGCACATCCCAGCACTGATGAGGCAGCCATGGAATTAAAAGCTTCGTAAAAAGCCGTCTTTTAGTCCCTGTGCGTGGTGTGTGCTCAATACATCACAGAGAGAACGAAATCTTGAAAAATACACACACACACACACACACACACACACACACACACACACACACACACACACACACACACACACACACAAGAGGTATTGACTCGTGAAAATCTGTTGAAGCACTCCACACACGATACACTTGGGAAGGCTATAAGAAGCACTTAAGAGTGTAAACACAAGAATGCACTTAAAACAGTAGGAAATCCTATTTAAAAAAAGGGACAGTGAAATCATAAGCAACTAGTCACTGAATAGCTCATTGCTATTAAACACGAAATGATCATTGGTTCGTGAATACAGTCATCTGTGACTGTCTATTAACTGTCCAATTCGAGACACGGTCATACCTATGGGTGTATTCCTCCCCCCCCTTCCCCCTTGTCACAAAAAAAGTATTTTTTTGGGGAGGTAGTTTTAATTATTTGGAAAATTTGACACTTCTAAAAGCCCCTATGAGACTTGGAATGTGCTTTTTGGGGGTGTGCCCACGTCCCCTACGGGGCTCACCATAGCCCGTGCTACTTGCAACTTTTGGTTCCAGGTAGCGAATCTTAAAACAACAACATCCTCTTCCTTACCGTCCTGTCTCGAAGTCGGAAGACCTGACAGTCGAGGGTGGCCGTCTTGCCCCTGCCGATGGTGACGTTGGTGGTGTTGAGATGGTGGAGGAAGAACGGTAATGTGGCTGGATCGGGTGTGGTCGGTGGTGGTTCGGTGGTTGTAGCTGGGATGTCGATGCTGGGGGCGAAACCTCCCGCCAGACACGCTGTGGGGAGGAGCAGAGATGTGTGGGTGTGGTTACAGCTCTTCAGGGAGGTCCTGAGGGTTGTTAATAGATATAGGGCACTGTAGGTGGTGATAGATGTCAGTAGATATAGGCACTGTAGGTGGTGATAGATGTCAATAGATATAGGCACTGTAGGTGGTGATAGATGTCAGTAGATATAGGCACTGTAGGTGGTGATAGATGTCAATAGATATAGGCACTGTAGGTGGTGATAGATGTCAATAGATGTAGGGCACTGTAGGTGGTGATAGATGTCAGTAGATATAGGCACTGTAGGTGGTGATAGATGTCAGTAGATATAGGCACTGTAGGTGGTGATAGATGTCAGTAGATATAGGCACTGTAGGTGGTGATAGATGTCAATAGATATAGGCACTGTAGGTGGTGATAGATGTCAATAGATATAGGCACTGTAGGTGGTGATAGATGTCAATAGATGTAGGGCACTGTAGGTGGTGATAGATGTCAGTAGGTATAGGCACTGTAGGTGGTGATAGATGTCAATAGATATAGGCACTGTAGGTGGTGATAGATGTCAGTAGATATAGGCACTGTAGGTGGTGATAGATGTCAGTAGATATAGGCACTGTAGGTGGTGATAGATGTCAGTAGATATAGGCACTGTAGGTGGTGATAGATGTCAGTAGATATAGGCACTGTAGGTGGTGATAGATGTCAAAAGATGTAGGGCACTGTAGGTGGTGATAGATAAAAGTAGATTATGCAGCAGAGGTCCTGATGGTTATTAATAGATATAGGGCACTGTAGGTGGTGATAGATAAAAGTAGATTATACAGTAGAGGTGCTGATAGACAGGCGTTCATAGATTAGGAGGCAACAACAGGTGTGTGTGTGTGTGTGTGTGTGTGTGTGTGTGTGTGTGTGTGTGTGTGTGTGTGTGTGTGTGTATGTGTATGTTTATGTGTGTTCATTTTACACATTCATTATATCAGTAGATATCCTATAGAGATACGAACCCATGATCGTGAACATCAGTTGAAGCCTTTTGAAGCCTGGGCTCTCTTGCACACTTTGAAACTCAATGAGCCACGGTTCAAGAGGTTAGTAAGGTGAAGAGAGGCTTTAGGGATGTCAAGGGTCGTTAAGGTTCAAGTACTGACCTTGGTATATTCTCTCTCTCTCTCTCTCTCTCTCTCTCTCTCTCTCTCTCTCTCTCTCTCTCTCTCTCTCTCTCTCTCTCTCTCTCTCTCTCTCTCTCTCTCTCTCTCTCTTGCGTGTGTTAAGATGTAATTAGCAACAGGAAAAATATCATTGGTCTCGTTAAAATGTTCTCGTAGTTGATTAGATAAATATTATCTTAATTCTCAGGTGAGGTGATTTGAGGCAGGTGATGTAGTCTTAGAGTCCTCAAGCCGTTAATGAGTATGTATCCTCACAGTCCCAATGTACCTTCTTATATGTGTGTGTATATATATATATATATATATATAATATATATATATATATATATATATATATATATATATATAAAATGAAATAAATATCTTTCAGATGACAGGGAAAATTAATGGTTAAAGACCCAAAAATGCTTAATTATTTAGTTATAATACACATTCTGGAAATTAAATGAACATATGAAGGCTCTGACACACAGCTGTCTCCACCTCTCACTCTGTGCCTTGTATATTTGTAAATTAACATTAGAGTGCAGTTCGCTTCGTTCTCGACTCGACAATCGGGGATTTCGGGTTCGAATCCCCTACAGGCGGGACAGAAATGAATAGGTGCATGTGTTTCCTGTTAGCTATAATGCCTCTGTTCACCTAGTAGTAAATAGGTACTTAGGGGTTAGTCAACTTGTTATGGGCTTGCTTAGTAGGTTAGTAGTTCAATTTTGGATAGGTAGGGGGGGGCCTCGATATAAGCCTAACATGTATATATTTACTGGCTGCCTGTCCCCAGACACTAATGAATTATATATTAGTAAAATTATTAGAGAGAGAGAAAGGTGGAAGCAATCAAGGTCTATACAAATGACCATAACTACATCCGGGTCTCGTAATTGGATCATACTGGAAGCAGTCATCACCTTTGGGGGGGGGGGTGACGACCCAATCTGGAGTGTAACGCTGGGTAATCAGCCGTACGACCCGACACGCCAATCTCACCCTAATTCACTCCTTCCGTTAGGTCGGGATTTATCGCGGATCTCGCTCGTTATCGCCCACACCCAACCACCACGAGATCTGAGGTGGGAAAAGTTTCTTTATATGTTCTCCTCCCTCCCCCCTTCCCTCTATCCGGGATGTGAGAGAGAGAGAGAGAGAGAGAGAGAGAGAGAGAGAGAGAGAGAGAGAGAGAGAGAGAGAGAGAGAGAGAGAGAGAGAGAGAGAGAGAGAGAGAGAGAGAGAGAGAGATTTAAGAACAAAATGAAAAAAAACTAAATTGGGAATAGTTTCCTCTTTGGGAGCCGTTGGCGTAATTGGGATTACTGTGGAGGCAGTCCGGTTAAATCCCCACCTCTCTCTCTCTCTCCTCTGTAATCCCCCCAGTGATTTGTTTCAGCAGTGGTCACCCCCACGGAAATTGGTGAGGGATTATATATATATATATTTTTTGTCTTGGCCTATTTCTGAAGCTGTTTCTGTTTTTTTGAAGCTGGTTTCTATCTCTCTCTCTCTCTCTCTCTCTCTCTCTCTCTCTCTCTCTCTCTCTCTCTCTCTCTCTCTCTCTCTACTCTCTCTCTCTCTCTCTAAGCTCTCTCTCTCTCTCTCTCTCTCTCTCTCTAGTCCTCTCTATCTCTCTCTCTCTCTCTCTCTCTCTCTCTCTCTCTCTCTCTCTCTCTCTCTCTCTCTCTCTCTCTAAGCCTGGGTCCCATTACTCAATTATTATTTTTATTTTATACAATTTTACAATTTTTTTAAATTTTCCGATAATCATAATTTTCTCTGACATTGTATTTTTTTTTAACATTGGCTGTTAGCCTCATTTCAATACTGTATATATTAGAGTGGTCATAAGGGCTGTATTGGCAGGTTATGTGGTAAAGTATTGTATTCATGCACTCGGAATTATCCTTTTTGTCCTTTTTAAATACTGTATCAACATTAATTCTCTCAGTATTATTGGCATTGTCGAGTTCTATTACACGCTCAATCACACCTGTAAACACACTTGACACATATGTGCATACACATATGTTTTATACATATAAACTTATATGGGAATTTATTTGCATGTGTATATGTAAACTTGTCCTTATGTTTCCAATGATGGAGGTCAGACTCCTAGGGGTAGCATCACCCAACTTTGCAGTATGACTGGGGAGGGGTTAGGGGTTACCATAGTACGGTGATTATCGGTAGGAAAGCATTAATTACGACTAAGTATAGCACTCTGAAGGGATATGTGGTTAAGGGTTTGCGATTGGACCGTGGGAAGGAATGGTGCCCAATCATTTGGACGGTCGGGGGATTGAATGCCGACCTGCAAGAAGCGAGATCGTTGCTCTACCGTTCAGTTCAAGAGGATGGGGCAAACTCTTTGCTCCAATAAAGTCAGGTCGGGGTCAACCCCATTGCTTCTATTAAATGAGGATTCGGCTCCCATGACGACCCCTAGAAAATTGGTCGAGGTGAAAGGTGGCACACACACACACACACACACACACACACACACACACACACACACACACACACACACACACACACACACACACACACATACACACATACACACACACACACACGGGACCAAAGAGCCAGAGCTTAACCCCCGCAAGCACAAATAGGTGAATACACACACGGGGGCGTTCTGGGGCGTTGGTGGCTGTGTTGATAGCACGCTGGATACGTAATCCTGTGGCCCGGGTTCGATTCCTGGCGCCGGCGAGAAACAAAAATGGGCAGAGTTTCTTTCACCCTGATGCCCCCTGTTACCTAGCAGTAAATAGGTACCTGAGAGTTAAACAGCTGTTACGGGCTGTTTCCAGGGGAGTTTGTGTGTGTGAAAAAAATTGATTGATTGACAGTTAAGAGGCGGGCCGAAAGAGCCAGAGTTCAACTCCCCCGCAAGCACAACTAGGTGAATACACACAGACATATACAGAAGTCTATAAAGCCCCGTCAAGAGGCTCGAACTTAGCTTTATATTTTTATCTCTGATCGTTAGCCGCTTCCTAACACGGCGACAGTGGCAGACACCGTCACAATTTGGCGGGAGTTCAGTAGTATGTGCTTGGTTAAGTCCCTTTCCCGCGCCGTCAAGTCCCTTGTAGGATGTCAAGTCCCTTGCGGGGTGTCAAGTGGTGGGTTATGTCCCTGCGACATTTTCACTATTTTCCAGGTGATCCATGCGTTGTTAAAGCTAATTTTGCCTGGCTTTATATAATACGACTTGATTTATTGTGGATTTATGTAATTCACAAACATACATGTTTAATACACACACACACACACACACACACACACACACACACACACACACACACACACACACACACACACACACACCACACACACACACACACACACACACACACACACACACACACACACACACACACACACACACACACACCCACACACACACACACACACACACACACACACACACACACACACACACACACACACACACACACACACACACACACACACACACACACACACACACACACACACACACACACACACACACCACACATAACACTGCCACCCACCTTCCCCTCACTAAGTCCTCAGTCAAAGAGCTATAATCCCTCCCCTCGCAACAGTATGTAGCTCCAGAGAAATTACCAGGTGTTGATCACGTATGTTGTTAGCTCTGACATTATTGTGTGTGTGTGTGTGTGTGTGTGTGTGTGTGTGTGTGTGTGTGTGTGTGTGTGCTCTCACGTATCTGAAATGTTCTATGATTCTTTAATATATAATACAAGATTATGTTTGTCATGGGATGTACCCAGAGGGGAATGAGAAAAGATTTGGTGAGGAGAGAGAGAGAGAGAGAGAGAGAGAGAG